ATAAACCAAAGAAAAAGATACATCTGACAGACTCAAGAGGCAAATTTTTACATAACGAGACACATCATAAAATAGAATTAGAAGAGGAGGCACTGACAGGAAATAGATATTTGCATCTCATGTAGACAATAAATGATGAGTGAATGGACCTGAACCATGTCTGCACACCCTTCCTAATATTTGGTGAATTCCCTATGATGTGATTTACCATTCCCACCAAGCAGAAACTAGCTAGGGCTTAGGCAGGGGGCCTAGGTATCAATGATCAGAGATAATGGGGCCAGACTTTGATTAGAAAGCAAGACCCTGGCTTTAGGGGACAGCAGACAGTGTTTCCAGCCCTCAGTCTCGAGGCTCCTTGCTGGCACACTCAGTGTTGGGCCCGGCTGTGCAGCAGTGAGGCCTTTGCTGTGACAATCCTGCAGTGTGATCTGGACAAACCACAGGACCTCCCAGTCAACTCTCTGGCCCTTCCAGAGATTCCATTGCTTGCCCAAAATCCTTTTAATACATGCCATTTCTGCTTAAACTAGCTAGAGTGTGTTCTTCTGCTTGCAAATAAGAACAACGGCTCATACAATTCACATCCAGAATACATAAACAGCACTTATAGAATCAATACAAGAATTTCAAAATGAACAGAAAATTCAGAGGAGAATGCCTGCGCAGAAGGGCTAATTAGTCTATGAAGATATGCTCAACAACTCTACTAATCAGGGAAATGCAAAGTAAACAACCAAGTAATCCCTCACACTTACCATATAAGAGAACATTAAAAGTCTGTGAAGACCAACTGGAGGCAAGGATGTGGTCAAAGAGCGCCTATCACTATTGCTGATGAAATGGTAAACTGGTACAACCATGTGGGAGAGCATGCAGTATATCAAGGAGGAGCTGTGCATGCCTATGATAGCCAACATTGCCCTTGAAAATCCATAGGAAAACCCCATGCTGGGGGAAGTTAGTCTCATTGAGGTTTAGTGCATCTCACCTCCTGCCTTGGAAACATTTTTTTCCAGTTAAAAAGTCATATAAGGTATAAAACCCATTTTTTCCTGTGTTTGGGGGTGAAGTTATACCAAAAACATGTATCTTTAAGTGTTATAACCATACTCAGGGAGGTGAGTCTAGAAGCACGTGGAACCTGTGCTTAAGGGATGCCTTTGTCTCCCATGTCAATGTTGCTGTTGGATGTGAACTCAATGGGATATCAGATAGAATCATGTGCTTTTTAAAAATCATTGTTTATCTCTGCTTTATAGACCAAGCTAATGCAACTGAATTTGCAGAATTAATTGAGAATATGATGTGACTCAACCTTAAGTAAAATTGTTTCATTGTTATAGAACAAATCATAATTAACAAAAGCATTCTAGAAATCTGTGGCTTTACCAATGCAATGTCCTTCAAACATGCTCATATTAATGTCTTCATACTCATTCGTTTATTGTGGGCCAATTCACAAGACAGTAACATTTTTCTAAAATGTTACCACTATACTTCATTTCTACCCATGGCTGCACCTGTACCTAAAAAATTCAGTTTGTCCTAATTTTTCAGTGTATGTGCTGGCCACACAATATATTCCAATATGTTAACCCCAGGGAACAGGCATTCTTAAGATCATGGTACATACAAGGTGTTGTCTATAGCCTGCTCTTTAGGTTTTTTATGCCAAATTGAAGGCAATCTTAACAAATTTTCAAATGGCAAGAGCCTCAGATATATAGAAAATATTTTCAAATGCAAAGGGAGGGAGGGAGAGAGAGAGAGAGAGAGAGAGAGAGAGAGAGAGAGAGAGAGAGAGACTTGACAAACCAAAGCCACATAAAAAATACATTTTTGGGGAAGTGGAAATTAAAAACACTGCAAAGGGAACTGTATGTGGAAAATAATGTGGAACAGACATTTAAGGGTAAGCAAAGAGGAAAGACCAGGCAGGAAATGTGGATGGAAGGGCTGCCTGCAAACCTTCAGCTCCAATGAGGGCAAGTTGTACTGACATGGATAGGATTTCAGCGGTGTCTCCTGGATTTTCACGAGTGCCTGTTTACTTAAACTGGGATGAGTAGGCTTCTGTCTTTTGCAATGAGATGATACCAAAGACTGAAGGATTAAAACACACAAGCACCTCCACCACAAGCCTTAAAGCATGTGACACTACACCTGTCAGGCCTTCAGGGAGTCAGTCCCCTTTGAATAGTCTTCTCATGTCCTCCCCAACGTAGAAAGCAGAAAGATTCTCTTTCCCAAGCTCCCTTTGCAGCTGGGGACAAGGCCTGGGCCCAAGGCTCTCCCTGTCAGATACACACATGGTAGAGTTCAATTCAGAAATGATCAGTGTGAGGAAATGGGTTGGGCTGAGGCACTGGTGCTGCTGGTGAGAGTGGCTGGCAGCAGAGCTTCTGGATTTCCAGGAGCCGTGCTGGTTGTGAGATATTCCAGAGCAGAAACAGCTTTGGTGCTAGTGGCCTTGGTTATCTCGGAGTCATTGCTGGCAGTGGCACACACTGTAACCTCTGTAGTTTCAGCTCACAGCTCACAGGTCACAGTGGGTGCTTTCCACAGGCCAGTTTGGGCATGATTTTGGAATGTTCCAGCTTAGTTTTGAGCCTGTTTGTTCAGCCTCCCAACAATTCAATGAGACACTCAGTGTCCTTTACAGATGTTTTTGGCTCAAACTTGCCAAAGTGGGTTGTTATTTGCAATTTACAAAATCCTGTTTCATATAGCATCTCTGGCCACGAAACTATTTTTAAGATCGGTATATGACCTCTCTGAACACAGGAATGGGTACACCCTTGAAGTTTCTAGAACACTCTGACACTGGGACAATAAGGGTTCTATCGTGTTTTTATGTGAGGCTGGTATACTTAGTCTCCCACCAATAAACTAAGCAATTATTCTCTGTCTAGGTGCCACCTTTGGTAGGAAGGTTTATAAGAAGTGAAAATAAGGAAGACTGCTCTGACCTGAAAGAAGAATTTCGCCAAGAATTCAGCAAGCTTGAGGAGGTAATCAATCGCGTCTTTTGGCTTTTATCAGAGTAAATGATACACTACACCTACCCACTTGTTTCGACACTCTTTTCTTCATATCCTCATTCCCCAGATCACTTTATAGGAATTAGTAATAATACCAAATAAGAAATTTTAGTTTATAACAGATTGACATAAGCTGTGTGTTTTAAGATATAAACCAAAACACCTAAAAATATTTTGTCATGGGCTTTTAAAATGCTTTGTTGCATCGATGTTAAAATAACATGGAAAAAAGGAAATTCACCAATATTTCTATAATGTGTCACCTGTTTTCTTTTTTTTCCCATGCTGCTTCCAGTCCCTGTCCATAAATAAATAAATAAAAAGATTAACATAAATGTAATCAGAGCATTGATACCATCCTGTGTTATTTTACTGAGTATTATATAATAAACATTTCCCACCACAAAGAGTTTGCCATGAATCCTACAGACACTTGGCAAAGCCAGATGTGTTTTACCTCCTTTGCGGGAGAGTTGCCATTTTGGGCCTTTAGATTGAGTCTTCCTCTTGGCCTTCAGACATTCCAAATGCTTCAGGTAGATTTAAACAATCAGTTTACAATGCAGACTGTTATACAGGCCCTGAAAAAAACTGTAGAAGTTTTATAAAGGGTTAAGTTGATTTGATATTGATTAATCAAATAATATTCTGAATTCCCCCCCTTTGACAAAAACATAATACCAATTCACCTTCTTGAATTTCGAATACATAGTTTACGCTTGGCTTTCAAATAATTTTATTTAACAGCTAATTGTTAAACTAGCTATTCCCAATATATTTTAAGTAAATTGTTTTATTGAAGAATTATATGCAGAGAAGTACCCAAAACATAAGAGTCCAGCTTGATGAATTTTTACATAGGAAACATAGCCATAGAATCAGCACCCATAGCAAAACACAGAATATTCGTTTTGGCTATTTTTTTTGTTATATAAATGGACTCTAATAATATGCACTTTTTTGGGTCTGGCTATTTCATACAATATTAGGTTTGTGAAGTTCATTTATGTTGGGTGTAGGTCATTCCTATTTTTTGTAGTTCCAGCATATGGCTGTATCACAGTTTTTAAAAAGATCCTTTTTACTCCTTGTGAGCAGAAAACATTTCCGCTTTGGGGCTGTTACAGTTAGTGCTGCAGTGAACATTCTTTGGTGAATATATGTTCACATTTCCAAGTAGAATGACTGGGTTAAAAGTATGCATGTACTCAGCTTTAGTAGATACTATTAAAACATGGTTGTACCAATTTACATTCCTATCACCAGTGGTTCCACACCTTCGCTAACTTTGTCTTGTTCATTTTAGCCATTCTGATGGATGTATAGTGGTATTACATTTTGGTTCTAATTTGCATTTCCCTGATAACTAATGTAATTGACTACCTTTTCAAATGGTTATTGGCCATTTGGATATCCTTTAATTGTGAAGTGTAAGTCTTGCCCAATTTCTTTAATAGGTGGATTTGCCTTTTATCTTGATTCCCAAGAGTTCTTTCTATATTCTGAATACCAGTCCTATGTTGTATTACGAAGGTCTTGCACTCTGTTGCTTTCCAGTTTATTTTGTTTATTGTTTTGTTTCATCCCAAACTAACAAATAGTAAAGCTTAAACTGATCAAATAGACAAAAAGTGAACTTGGATATGTCAGGGTAAAAGCTGCTGGTCTCACCTGCATCATCTCTGATATCCAAATAAGAAGTACTCTTATGCTGTTTAATGTCCAGGTTCTGACCAATAAGAAGACAACCTTCTTTGGTGGCAATTCACTTTCTATGATTGATTACCTCATGTGGCCCTGGTTTGAACGACTGGAAGCACTGGAGTTAAATGAGTAAGACATTTGAATATTTTGTGCATAATTTAGGATAATGATAATTTGAATAGTATATGTTGACCTTTTTCTGAACAAAAATATTTTATACAACTTTTATGAATGGGAAAAGGCAGACAGAAGGAAGACTTGTGCATGTCATATACCTACACTCACCACTGCTTCCCATCAGGGGGAGTAGGCAGGGGTTCTGTGACATGTGGTAAAATGTTTTAAAAGTAATTTACTCCTTCCCTCCTTAATAAAAATCCATAAGGAAGGTTTGGAGAGGAGGAGCTGAGTGAAAAAGGTGAAGGTATTAAGAAATACAATTGGCAGTTACAAAATAGTCACAGGGATGTAAAATACAGCATAGGGAATATAGACAGTAATGTTGTAATACCTAGGTATGGTGTAAGATGGGTACTAGACTTATTGGGGGATCACTTTGTATGTTATATAAATGTCTAACCATTATGCTGTACATCTGAAACTAATATAATATTGAATGTCAACTGTAATTGAAACTTTTTTTTAAATCCATAAGGATGTACATTTTTATAAGGCTGTCATGCAGGATTATATGACCAATGCTACCTCCCAGTTACCAGTAAGATTCCATACTGGTTTGCAAGCTCCATATTTTGAAGTTTGGCAGCCACTTTAGCTTACTCCCTCTTAGAGCTTAGAGCTATTAAGGGTTACTCTTTATATATGTATATAGTGTGGGGTCTTGCCCTAGTAACATCGAAGATCAATGATCACAGATCTCCACAACAAATATAAAAACAATGGCAAAAGTTTGAAATATTCTAAGAATTACCAGAATGTGGCATAGAGACACGAAGTCGAACAAATGCTCTTGGGAGAATTGCGCCCGTAGACTTGCTCAATGCAGACTTGCTCAATGCAGGTGTGTTGCCACAAACCTTCAATTTGTAAAAAACGCAACATCTGAGAAGCTCAACAAAAGGAGGCATGCCTTATTCTATGATTATGTACATTTTAAAGAACTACTTTAAAAGGTTAGAGGAGAACAAAGTGAAACTGCAGAGTGCTAATGATGACATATAGACTTTGCAATGCCTTCTTCTTTCGTCCAGCTCACACCTTCATTCTTTCCATCTCCCACAGGTGTGTAGACCACACTCCAAAACTTAAGCTCTGGATGGCAGCCATGAGGAAAGACCCCACAGTATCAGCTCTCCTCATTGACGTGAAAACCTTTCAAGGTTTCTTAAATCTCTACTTGCAGAACAGCCTGGAGGCCTGTGACTACGGGCTCTGATGGGGGCAGAAGTCAACAATGAAAATATATCTGATACTTTCCTTCACTAATAGGAATAAAAGCATGCTTTTATCTTAACAAGTGCTCTCATGTTTCTTTGGATCACCTTCTTTGAGTTGACATCATGGCCCAGCGGTGGGGTTTCCTTAAGGCCTTCATGCAGAAATGTAAACACATTTCCTGCTCCGGATGCTCAAATGACACTAAGGTTTCTATCAGTCTCCGCTGAAAACCTCTAAGTCATCCTCTCTACTGAGATCTAGACTTCAATCTAGATTTCTAACCGCCCATAGAACATTTCCACGTGGATACCCCATTGTCATTTCAAGAGATGCCCTTTCAAGTTTGTCTTCAAAGTTCTGAATTGAGAATTTTCAATCCTCATTTTTTCCATCATCAACTGAATTTCACTTGCCATTGTCACCCATGAAGACCAGACCTGCATCACCTCAAAGTCAGGTGACTAGGTGGCCTCCTATTTGATTTCCAATATCCAATCTGTATCCTCTTCAACTCCTCCCTACCAAAATCCTATTTCAGGTGTACAACATAGAGATTATGTTGTACAACCCATTCAATATGTAATTACTGTGGAGACCACATCCCTTAATGTGGTATGTAAGGCCGAATGAGTAATAGGTAATATCCCCATTCAGAAGTAGTAATGCCATCTTCCATACACTTCCATAGCCCATTGGTCTTCTCACTAATGTTTATCATCACATCACCTCCAGGAGAAGAAGGTAGGTCAGAGAGCATCACTTCACTCTATAGATCATTCAACTAAGGTCCTGAGGTTAAATGAGACCTTACGATGCTGGCAGAAATATCTGGAGGACACACCCAGCACCCTGTTCTTACTGTCAGAATTAAGGGGCTGTTGACCAGCCAGCCCCAATACAGTCTGGTTTCCTGTACTTCAACGGAAGAGCACCTAGCAATCACCTTGGGCTCACTGCTGGGGGTGGGCCGGGTGGGCCACATTTGAAAAGAGCGCCCCCCTCCCACCCCATTGTGATGCAAGCGATCTGGGGGCCGCACCCTGAGAGGCAGCTGACAAAGAATGACTTCACAAAGGGCCTTCGGCCGTCAACGCCCAAGCTCTGGGCGACCCATCTCTGCTCAGATCGGCCTGCCCCACACTCTGGGCCCCGGTCGGCTGCGGGCGGACTTCAGTCGGATGCAGACCCGGGCACTGAAGTGCCGCAGAGAGCCACTACCCGGTCACAGACACCCGTGGAGAATCGAGACTCCGGTTCCCAGCAGCCCGGAGCGCAGCCCCCCAGTGGCTCCGCTCGCTCTCGCTCGCACGGACTGGCCAGAGCGCTTCTGAAGGCCTCTAGGGTTTGGCTGGAGCTCTGGGCACCGGGGCCAGTAGGCGGGTAGGATCTCACTCTAGGGGCGGGCTCCACCCTCGTTTTACAGCCGGTTCCCTTTCCCACGGGCGGGGAGGTGTCTGGCGGCGTCTCTCCTGTCCCCTCTACCGGGTGGGTGCGTGGGTCTGGCCAGGGTTGCATTTGAAAGGAAAAGGGGTGTGTGGTCAATTCTGGAAACAAGTCCTGATTCTATTTCAAACAAGTCTATTTGAAAATAGAGCTGTTTTTTTCTCACTTATTCTTCAAACTCGGTGAACAATATCCCAACACCCAGTCATCTTTCATGGAAATTAGGCTTCGGAAGTATTCAGAGGGATGTCCTCCAGGTTTTGCCACCATCCGAGATAGGTATGAGAGAAAACATTTTTTTTTAAAAAAAACACCTGAAAAATGCTAGCTCCAGTTCTATTCTCAAAACAGAGATTCAATTAAATAGAGTAAATTATTTCTGTGGTGGCATTCTTTTCCTCGAAGGCTTAAGTTACTATTACCCATGCCTGAAGATCCCCACATTTGCAAATAGATCCGATTATATTTCAGGTAGCTGGAAACCAATTTGGAGTAGGTTTAATATGGCCTTGTTACCATTTGTTTCTTGCTTGAATGAGTCTGTATAATAGAGGTGTAAACATGATATAATTACATAGAAGGACAATCTGCAAAGAGGATTTCAAAGAAGTACCTATTGGGTCTTTAAAGGGAAGTAGGGATAAACTCAAAGGTCATAATTAAACTCTTTCCAGGGAAACCACAGTGTTCAGCGGTAGGATTAAAATCCCCATTACTGAAATGTAGCCTGCAGCATTCAACTGCCATTTTAACTGGTAACTGGTGAAAGAAATATTCAGTGTTGCATTCTAATTCTAATATGCTTGGCAAAGCTGGATTGCAGTGCATTTCATCTTTATGGATACAAAATTGGAATGCACTATGCTCTTAACAATGTGTTCTTATTCACTACAATTAGTCATTAACTTTGAGCTCTTACTATACTGAGGATCACCTGTATGATTTCATTCAATATTCAAAACCCATCACGAAGGTGCTGTTTCTTTCTCATTTCACAGATGAGAAGGATGAAGGTCAAAGAGAGAGAGCTTGTCTAAGTGCCAAAGCCAGGGTTTGAGTATAAGTGCCAACGGAGAACCTTGACATTATTTTCCTTCCCTTCAGGGGAAGAATTGTTTTCATTACTTTGTCTATTCTCCCCTAACTACACCAAATAGACTTGCATTTTAGAATGTGACTTCCCATACACGAATATACTTTAAAGAAACAGCATTTACCAACTCTCAGAGTTGGTTTCCTTTAAAGGTGGCTATAAGGGGAGGGGGAATCTTGGAAATAGGTTCTCTCTAGCATAGTGGAAAAGTGGAACCTTTTACTTTGCAAATGGAATCCCCAGTTTGGCCCTTAAAATTTCATTCATTGTTAGTTTCCTCCAGGATGGGCAAAGTCAGGCCAGAGAGCCAAATCCAGCCCACTGCTGGGTTTTGTACAGCATAAGAACTAAGCATGGTTTTTATATTTTTAAATGTTTGAAAAAACCAAGAGAAGAATCATAATTTATGACATGTGAAAATTATATGAAATTCACCAAGAGTAAACCCTAATGGAAACTATTCACCACTCAGTTTGTCTTCATTGATTAAAATTAGTTTCAGAATAGTAGTTATCCTATTACTTTATCTTCCAAAATGCAAAATTGTCAGGATGGCAAGTGAAGAACCAATGTCTTTTCCAATACCAGACTTCCTGCTGACACATATGCAATTTCTTTTGAGAGAAAATGTATTAGAACATTTTTGCCATTCCCCAAACTTATAAATCCACAACAACCTGTCATGTCCCACATGAAATCACTCTGGATGACCTAACAATGTTGTTGAGTCACTATTCCAAAGACTTTCAAAGATTCCTATTTAGTAGGGAAAAAATGTTAACACTATTAACCAAGAATTTCTGGATAGACTGGAATTCCAAACGACAAAATGTGTCCAATCATGAGCTACATAATTAGGTTCTGTCATTTTAATGAAGGATATTTAGATTCAGCTAACAATTGTTGAGCAGCAATTACGTGTTAGATCTTTTCCAGGACTTAGATCCTTTCCTCTCCACACTGTTAGCTGCTTTAGAGGCCAAGACAATGAGCCAGCTTTGGACTTTTAAAGTTCTTCAACCCTACTAGCGGGTCACTTTGGACAAATAATTTCATTTTCCTGAGGATATTTTCTATTTTGTAAAATAGGAATAATAATATTGCCTGAGTAGTTGTGGGAATCAAAAAGGTAATCCATGGAAACCATTTAATCAGAATGAGTGAGGCATAGAATGCTTTTCTTTCCTCCTTTACTTGTCAACCCTCTGAAATGCATTGATGAGTAATTCCTGTTTCAGCTCAATCCTGTAAAAATCAAATAAGTTCTCTTTCCATCTGCTCAATTTCAGGGTCACCAAGCTGCTTAGGGTCAGAGTAAAGGCCAGCTACCGCCTTGATTTCATGTAGCTGGAAGAGCGATCCAAGTGAACCCTGTATTGCTGGGCTGTTGACAGTGTGCCCTTAGCCATTATAAAGGGTCTTCTCTAAGATTCATGCTGGGGGATGGGGAGAGCTCACAAATTTTTCTTTGCCTCTAGATTATCTTGTTTCAAATTCATTACCAGTTTTTTCATAGCTTGGGTACAATCTCACGAATAGGGCTGGAACTAGAGTGAGGCCAGTGAGGGCACACAATTTAAGGAGACACTCGGGCGTGCAAGAGCTCAATACTAAGAAGTGTTTCTTCTCATCTGCTATATTATGAAAAAGCTTGCCTTTATTTTTTTGTGCTCCACAGAGAATGAGGCCTATTGTCTTAGAGATGCAGGAGGGAGGGCTTACAATGGGAAAGAAAACCTTAGTGCTACCCAGGTTAGTGTTTGTTAAACTCCCTTGAAATAGCTGGAGTTTCAATGCTCAATCTCCACAGATTCTCAGTGCCGAGAAGGGACCCCACCGAAGGCTGTACCCACGTGTTCAAGGCAGGGGGTACTTCTCAGGGTTTTTATTTGTTGTGTTTTGTCCACACTCCTACTTGGACTTCCAAGTCTGGGGCGAAGTCTCTCCACGTTGTTATCCTACCTCGCTCGCTTCCCAGATCACGTCCCCGCTGCCCCACCAGATCCCAGTCCCTTAAACCTTGAATTTGGGCTGCAGGGGCGGCGCGCCGGAGCCTGTGGCTGCGGCCGCGGCGAGCTCCAAAGGCGAGGCTTGGAGCATTGGGCGCTGTGCAGACGCACGATAACCATGGGTGAGGATGAGAGCCGGAGCCTGGGGAAAGGTGAGTCCTCTGGGTCCGCGGTATGGAGACGCTGGGCCTTGGCCCCCAGACCAGCTCCGGGGGGGGG